ACGAATTAAACCGTGAAATATTCGATACATTTTATTGTGCTATTGATAAAATAAATTTTGGGCATTTTATCAATTGAAATATCTCACTTTTATATTTAGATTAGAATAGTGTACAACAGCCTTAATGTGCACTGAATGCGCACCAGTGCAATCAGTGAAATACGCTATAATTCTTGTTCCTCTATTGTGCGCAGGCCCTAATACTTGGAGGCGGGAGCCATTAACTAAAGAAGAAGACGAAGAAGTAGCACTACACGTAGTCGGTATGACATATATTCTAACCTGAATTATCGTGAACTTTAACGCTTAATATCTCGGTTCGCAGGGCAGAGCGGCGCTTTTTTCTACCAGATTCTTTCGTTTTATGGAAAAACGCGTCGAATGAGTATAATTTCATCGATTTTTAAGAGGATCGACCTTTATTGCACCTTTACCTATTATTATTATAAAGATCTTTCTTTTGCAGAATTTATTTTAGTTAAATTTTAATTTTTTTTTTTTAATTGAAATATGAACGAAATAGAAAGCTTACGACAAAGAGTCATAGAGCTCGAAAACGAGCTGCAAGAAAAGAGAGATAAAAATGTGACAGTAACAAGGGGAAGGATCGAACATATGTCAGATGAAGTAGTGGATTCAAATCCATATAGGTAAGTTTCAAAATGTTTCGTCACTTTTATTATTTTAGTATGTACAAAATTAGAGGGTTTATAGGTATGTTATTTTATGTAATTCGTTACTGTCACTGTGTGCCTTCCAACAAGTGACACAATGGATCATTACATCCTTGTTGTTCGCCAATGTTAAACAAAGATGACAATCCTTGCGTCACATCGTGTCGCTTGTTGGAAAGCACACACTGATACTTACAATAGAAAGATAATAATATGGCCCCTATTCTCGAAAAGTATCGTATACGAAAAATTAGGGAAATACTATAGTATGCGTTACATATATTATAGCACTTCCCTAGTTTTTTGTATGCGATGCTTTTCGAGAATAGGGGCCCATATGCTTTCCAGCAAGTGAGACAGACTGCACAGTGTAACACATGATCTGTTTTCTGTTCCTGCACTAGACTGCTCTAGAACTCACTCTCGCTTTTGACAAATATCAATCGTACATCTATCTCACTCTAAGTTCTAAAAGTGTATACTAGTTCAGTCACAGAAAACGGACCTACAGTGAATCATTATATCCTTGTTGGCCAATGTTAAACAAGGATGAAATAATCACTGTGTTAACTGTGTTATGCTGTGTTACTTGCTGAAAAGCATACACAATGATTTTTTATTTTTTTTATAATGTTATTAACCCTTACCATACCATCTACAATTTGGTACCTCATCCATACCATCAAGGGTCACTTCAAATCTCTTCGTTTTTTTACCTCTTCAAAATAATTTTAAAAATCTCTAAAAATTTACCAACATACTTTCAACTTTATAGAATACATATTGACTCTTTATTTTGGAAAATAATAAAATAGTAGTATAATTTATAATTATCGAAAGACTCAAAGAAACTTGCACGAACAGGAATTGCTCGGTCACTCGTTACCCATATCAGTACAGTAAGGGTTAAAGTAAGATATTAGATTAAAAAAATTACATTGACTACGTTTACACAATTCAATTTACGCCAAAGTTATTACACCGATCTTATGAAACTGGCCAATACATACAGTCATTCCATTCTTCACAGAAATAGCTATGATAGACCAGTTTGATAACAATGATGTTATAATTTTGGCATAAATCAAGCTATGTTAACATAGTCATAATTTAATAATTAACGTTAACTTTTCTTTATACTAAACTTATCTAATAACTTTTATAATTCTGCTTTACATTAATATTTTTATTCTTTAAAGATTTTCTTTACAAACGCAAATTTTATTAAAAAGTTTTATTAAACATTGTTTTTAAATGTCATTATTGAGAGTACATTTACTGCCAATATTGAAAGTTTATAATTTACATTATTATTATATATACATACTACAGATTTTCAATATTGGTAGTAACTCTCAAAATATAGTCCAAGGATGCTCTCATAATTCTTGGACCTTAGCAGAAATCTGACTTATTATCTTAAGACAGTGTTT